TTGGTAGTTGTTATTTAATTAATTTAGTATAAAATAAGTTTACTATTAAGTACTTATATATGTAATATATATATATATATATATATATATATATATTAAAAATCAGTCTATGATCTAAGCCTTCTTAATTAATTAATTCTTCTTACTTTAGATCGGAGCAATTAAGTGAGTCAACATCATTGCGTGGAATCGAAGTAATCGCTGATGGTGATGATGATGTTGCGCTATAATGAGAAAATCGCGCGCACGTATAACAAGTATAATATCGAGCGCAGCATCAAAGTTCAAGGCGCGGACGTACTTAATACGATGCAATTCCCAATAACTTTACCGTTGGAAAAACCACTTGCATAACATTTAAAACTTTGTATATGTTTATTGAATTAAAATGCGACACACTTCATTGCCCGCGTGCGTCCATTGCGAGAATTCATTTCCATTTCGACGTTGCGCGGCAACCTTCTTTCTCGCCTAATTACTCGGCGCGCGCGGTGTTACGCAATCGATAAACGCGCAAGTCGAAACCTTAATCAGGTGAGACAGATGCCGTTTCCGTTGAAGCGAGTCGAGAATAAGCCGCCTCGCGTATATACGGCAGATTATTATGAATTTATTTATTTTACATCGCATCCCGTTTTCACGGAGCGCGGTCCTTTCGCTCGCATTTTCTCCTTTTGAGACACGCCTCTCACGACGAACGCCGCCGCCGTCCTCGCTCCTACGAAGAACTTTCCTCTCCCTTCCTCGCACAACGATCACACACGCCACAAACTATATTATCTAGCTCAGTTTCCGATCTCTCTTGTAGACGGCATTAATTAAATTTTCAAATGTTAATTATATGCGCGCTATTTTAATTTTAAAAGCGACACAAGCGGGATGTTTCGTTACGAGGGGGCGAGAGGGAGAGGAGGGAGGGGACCGCGCACGTGGATTATCTGTCAACTTGGCGGCGCCGAACGAACGTTGCTCGAAATTTGCGCAAGGAAATTCCCTTCCTCTCCGCATCAAGACCGAATTTCCGTGGGAGCACGTGGACGTAAACTTGAAACTTTGAGACGCAGAGTCCGATTCGCCGTCGGCCGATAATCGACGAGCGCGCCCCGATCGCCTCGTTTCCAAGAAGGCGTCTTGCAAATCATCGTCCCCTCGATTCCCGCGAACGATTCATTCGCGCCGCCGCTCTTTTCGCCTAATCGACCAATCTCGGAGCGCGCGCGCGAACGCGAGTTATACGTAACGTTCTCCTCGCGGCATAACTAATTGATCTTTCCAGCGCGCTTGAACTCGATAATTATCATTTACATGCGTGATCTCGTGCGCGCGAGAGTCACTCTTTGGCCGTAGCACACATTGCCAAGGAAAGGAAAAAAAAAAAAAAAAGAAAAAGAATGCGACAGACCTGCACAGGCCTCAGGTAGAATAAAATGCGCTACACCTGTTTGCAGAAGTCAGAACAAGCGCATGAAAATAAGGATAAAAGCGAAAACGTAAATGGAACTGGACGTGGTCGAAGGGAGGAGGGAGGACTGGCGAGTTTACAACGCTCGCTCGTGGAAATCTACCTCTCTTCGTAATCCACGTAATCTCTACACGATCCTCTATTTTAACATTTCGCTGAATCTTGTTTTACTCTTAAATACTATGCGATTTTTTTCCGAATCACGTTTATTATAGTGTCTGCCACCGTCTTATAATATTAAGTTACATTTATTTGAGATAAAGCAAGTTACTTTCAAAGAAGGACAGAAATATATATTGCACAATCTAAATATTTCTATCTACATAGAAAAAGAAACTTAAATCAGACGACTGTGTGTTTTCGTATATGAGCAAGAACATTCTTAGAAAGATTTTAGTCTTGAGTTGAGCAAAAGTAATACTTGCGTGATACAAATTTCATCGAATCGAGATT